CTTGGCTCTTTTATGACTCGTGGACTTCAACTCCCAGAATTTCTGAGCCAGCATGGCTCAGCTTGGAAACCTCTCCCTTTCCCCTCAGCGTGGCTGGCTCAGGAATTCTGGGAGTTGAAGTCCACGAGTCATAAAAGAGCCAAGGTTGCCTATCTCTGGCCTAGGCCTAGGCCGCTTTATGACTGGTGGACTTCAACTCCCAGAATTCCTGAGCCCACATGGCTCAGCTTGGAAACCTCTCCCTTTCCCCTCAGCATAGCTCACTCAGGAATTCTGGGAGTTGAAGTCCATGAGTCATAAAAGAACCAAGGTTGCCTATCTCTGGCCTAGGCCTAGGCCGCTTTATGACTGGTGGACTTCAACTCCCAGAATTCCTGAGCCAGCATGGCTCAGCTTGGAAATCTCTCCCTTTCCCCTCAGCATAGCTGGCCCAGGAATTCTGGGAGTTGAAGTCCATGAGTCATAAAAGAGCCAAGGTTGCCTACCTCTGGCCTAGGCCTAGGCCGCTATATGACTGGTGGACTTCAACTCCCAGAATTCCTGAGCCAGCATGGCTCAGCTTGGAAATCTCTCCCTTTCCCCTCAGCATAGCTGGCTCAGGAATTCTGGGAGTTGAAGTCCACCAGTCATAAAAGAGCCAAGGTTGCCTACCTCTGGCCTAGGCCTAGGCCGCTTTATGACTCGAGGACTTCAACTCCCAGAATTCCTGAGCCAGCTTGGAAACCTCTCCCTTTCCCCTCAGCATGGCTAGCTCAGGAATTCTGGGAGTTGAAGTCCATAAAAGAGCCAAGGTTGCCTACCCCTGCTTTGGGGAAATATAATATTCTGCCTTTTTAATATTTCCCAAAATATTTCTTTCTCTGGATTCTTCCCACAGTGGGCAGGCTGAAAGAGCAGCAATTTTGGATTCTTTCTCGCACTTACGACCGTTGCAGCGTCCTCACGTTTCACCTGATCAAAATTCAGACGCTCGGCAAGTGGTTCGTGGTTACGACCGTCGCCGTGTCCCAAGGTCAGGTGATGGTCCCCTTTTGCGACCATCGGACAAGCGGAAGTCCAGTGGGGAGAGCCAGGTTTTGAGTTCACATCCAGGCTGCTAACTTTGCCAAGCCCAGCGATTCACTTTAACAACTGTGGCAAGAAAGGTCACAAAACGGGGCAAAGCTGACTTAACAAAGGTCTTGCTTAACAAGCAGACCCTTGGGGCTCAATTGTGGCTGGAAAGAAAGAAAGAAAGAAAGAGAGAGAGAGAGAGAGAGGGAGGGAGGAAGAATGATAGATCTATAGACAGATAGAAATCTACAATATTAGAAAGAAAGAAAAAGGAAGAATGAATGATAGAAATCTACATTAGAAAGAAAGAAAGAAAAATAGAGGGGGAAGGAAGGAAGGAAGGAAAAAAAGAAAGAAAGAGGAAGAATGATAGATCTATAGACAGATAGATAGAAATCTACATTAGAAAGAAAGAAAAGGAAGAATGAATGAAAGATAGAAATCTACATTAGAAAGAAAGAAAGAAAAATAGAGGGGGAAGGAAGGAAGGAAGGAAGGAAGGAAGGAAGGAAGGAAGGAAGAAAGGAAGGAAGAAAGGAAGGAAGAAAGAAAGGAAGAATGATAGATCTATAGACAGATAGATAGAAATCTACATTAGAAAGGAAGGAAGGAAGAAAAGAAAGAAAAAGAGAGATAGAAATCTACATTAGAAAGGAAAAAGAAAAGAAAGAAAAAGGAAAATAGATAGACAGACAGAAATCTACAATATTAGAAAGAAAGAAAAAGGAAGAATGAATGATAGATAGAAATCTACATTAGAAAGAAAGAAAGAAAATAAAATAGAGGGGGAAGGAAGGAAGGAAGGAAGGAAGGAAAGAAAGAAAGAAAATAAAATAGAGGGGGAAGGAAGGAAGGAAGGAAAGAAAAGAAAGAAAGAAAGAAAGAAAGAAAGAAAAGAAAGAGAAAAAAGGCCTCCACGCTTCTCCAGGTCTCCCCAGAGCCAGCCCAGCCCCTTGCCAAGCCTTTGCAAAACGCCCGCACCTCCGCAAGGGTCACCCCGAGGGCATCTAGACGGCCCAGCGAGAGGCTTCTCGCAGCCCTTTTTCCCCCTCCGTTCCTGCCCCTGGCCAAGGCACCCCCCCTCCCCTCCCCCTCTGGTCTGGATCAGCCGACCGGAGGGCCGTACTATATGCGCCCGTGGGGGGGTGGGGGGCGAGCTCCTCTCCTAGCCTGAAAACCTCCCCCCCCCTCCCCTACTCGAGGGAGCTGCCCCTCCGCGCAGGGACCTGGAGGAAAAAAAGGAGAGGGCCGGAGAGGACGGGACCATTTGGAAACGCAGGGGCAGGGGGGGTGTTCCGGGTGGGCCTCTCTTGCCCCAGCAAACCCCCCCCTCCTCCTCCTCGCCAGTGGGCCGGTCCGGTGGCAATATATAAGGGTGGGCGGGCGGCTGCGCTGCCCCAGAACGGATCCGGCTGGCGGTGGGTTCGCGAG